TAGCTGAAATATAAGAAAACATTTCTTGCAAAGGAATTTAATAAGATGTTTATTTTTCCCCCCTTTAATTGCAACCTTTCAGACCTGAGCGGAAAAAGAAACTCTAAATGTTTTACGGTCGGGGTCATACCCCTCCCCCCTTCCAAAAAATCACACTTTAACTTCATTGAATGTAAAGATGATATATTAATTTTACTACAGTTAAGATTTACAACTCTATCTCTCCAAGAATTTAGTTGACAGGAAGCGATTCTATTTTTTATAAAATTTAACAACCAGTTTTACAATCGAAGTGTTTATTCAGGCTTGCCGGAAAGGGGTGCTCTAATAGTAATCTTTTTTTTACTTTTTATTTTCCTTCCCAATTACCATTATTCATTTAGATACCAAATACAGGGGCGTAGCAACAGGGGGGGGGGGCAGGGGGGCCTGCCCCCCCCCTTTTTTCACCAACCTTACTTATACTATAGGAAATGCAAATTGAAAGCCTGGTTGGCCCCCCACTTTTATTGATGTACCGAAAATGTAGTATTAGAATTGGTACTGAAAGTAGTTGACACTGAGAAAAAGTTTACCTCAACCCCCCCCCCCCCCCCCCCCCCCACGAAATTCAATTCAATTCAATTTTTTTATTGATTCACCAAACATGTTGGCATACAACCATGTTACATATAAAGACAAATAATAAAATACATACATACATGCAAGTGTATGGATCAGTGAAGTCAACTATGTAGAGTATTACAACTTGAAGATTAAACATAATCATTATGCAAGCAGTATAGTATAGTATAGACAGTGATGAGTTAATAAATGCATTAAATATATATATTATAATTGCGCTTTATTTTTGGAACGCAATTCAAAACATTCATATTAAAATTCACATAGCCTTCTAGAATGAACTGCATTGTCAGGATTACAAAATACTTTACAATGATTTTCTTTCAATATGTTATCGTTTAAATTACAGATGTTCAGATGACAGTACTTTTTTCGCAAATTTATATATAAGGGACAGTCATATATGAAATGTATTTCACTTTCTACAACAGTTTTACAATAGTGACAAAAACGTGATTCTTTTGGGATACAAGGCTTTGAATATCTGCCTACTTCAATTTCTAAAGGATGTGCAGAAATTCTCAGTTTTGTTAATTTAGAACGTATAGTTTTATTTATTGGATATTTTAAGTAGTCTTGTAATTCATAACTCTTTCTAATTTGACTGAAAAATAATAATTTACCACATTTGGAGAATTCAATGTTCTGAAGTTGCAAATTAACATTTTTTATGTAAAAATTCTTCAAGCAGCTGCTGAATGTGTTATCAGTTATATCTAATGATGGAAGGTTAAGTTTCTTTTTTAATTTATCAATCTGACTTTGCCAATTATCCTTTACACCATTACTATATAGGTTGTCATCTTCTAAGGAAGTAGCAATCAGAATTTGATTTCTAGTGCCATTTTTATTCTTAATATTTTTTAGTCTCTTATAGTATTTAAACATTGAGATGAAATCTTTGTTATAAATAGGGAATGTTCCTAGCTCATATTTAATGGCTAAATTTGAAGCTTTTCTCTGTACACCCAAAATATCTTTAAATATCAAATGCTGTATCTTTTCAAAAGGTAGTTGATAGGATTTTCGACTTCGGGCAACTTCCCCCCCCCCCCCCTTTTTCAGGTAAGTAAAAAAGAAATTTTCTCTGGCTGCCCCCCCCCCTTTCAAAAACGATGCTACGCGCCTGAAATATTGCCCCCCCCCCCCCCCTCAACTGTTTACCAAATACATGTACAGTATAATTTGTCCAAACCGGCTGCCGCCGGTTCCATAAAATTAGTCCGGTTTAGACAGAATCCGGAGTGCAGGAAAAATGCAGGAAAATATCAATTTCAAAAATTTCGTTCTTTATTTACAAGTACATCATATACATATTATAAATAAAATTAAATGATGAAATAAATTTATATTTTGGAGTCTGAAATTATAGAATAGTCTCACATGACTTAAATGTATTTTCTTATTTGTGCAATCACGAAGTATGAAAGTCGGGTGAAATGTTACCTCAATCAAAATATACAGGACAGGCACGCATAATATAGGCCTACTATGTATCAAGCGGACCGGGTTTCGCATGTCAAAGATCTCATTCAATGTATTAACAGCAATGCGCAATTATTTACGATGTGCTAATTATTAGATTGAACTTTTAATTTTTAAGTAAAAAAAACTACGTCTTCCCCCACAGTGTTATGGCGCCATTTTGAAATGCGTTCGATTTTCGATCCCGATTTATATATCGATTTGTAAATCGAGTACATATATTTTTGTGTTTATGTTTTAATGTGGTAAAAGGAGTTAAAAACAAAGTTAATTTTTTTTAATTGTAATTTAATCATATAATGGGTGTGTTCAGAGTACTACCGTTGGCTGACAAAAGTTACCATTGGTAGAATTTTTTACCATTGGTATGCCATTGGTACCAAAGTCTGCCGAAAAAATTTACCATAGGTAGATTTTTCTGCAGACGAACTAGAGCTCTGTTAGCGATGGTAACTTTTTTTATTACGTCACGAAAAATGGCGGGTATGGCATATGTGCTTAAAGCGACAGATTTTTTATCTCAACTTTTTCCTTTAAACCTCGTTGTTGCAGGAAAAAATTACTGTATATTAACAAAGGCTTCAACATTCAGCATATATCTGACAGTAAGTATGCACACTTTCTGCTATATAGTCTTATAAAGTGACCGTAGACGAATGAACAGATTTCATTCGGAATTTCCTCTGTTCTTACACGTTAGTCTATGTGAGCGGCGCTTTGCACTGCTTACTTAAACAAATATATATAATCATATAAGGAATAAAAACCATTTTAAACTCATTCCCAGTTTCTTAACCAAATTATATATATCGGGAATACCCGGATAGGTTGGAAATTTTTTGGTAGAAATATGACAATGTTTTAATCATAGTAAATCTTAATTGATACTTTACCCTGATATTAATGAAATATATTCAAAAACAGTTATTTATTTCTGATGTATACAAATAAAACAGTTTTCGCCAATTTTTAATTAAAAAATTATTTAGAAATCTGTCTCAAAGATATAGTCTTAACATGCTTACCCGTTTATTTTTCTCACTATAGTCACATAAACGATGCAAATACTATCTTTTTAGGCCTAGTATATGAAAAATTAATAATACTGAGTTATGTTCAGCTTGTTGCATTGAACAAATAAAAAATGCTGATAGAACTTAAGGTTTTATGATCTTATGGTAATTCATTAATTAACATTTTCTCTTTTCTTAAAATTACTAGATCTTGATGTGGTATCTAATCAGTTAGAAAAATTACTACCTCCTGACCCCCCGAAGGATCCAATATTTATTGATTGTATTGATGGAGAAGTAGTCATTCCACAAGTATTATTCCGAAATGATGAAACGCAGGATAATAGTGAAAGTAGCTCCTCATCCTGTCAAGCCAGCACCTCAGATCGTGTTCTTCCGCGTGATCAAGCCAGCACCTCAGATCTTGTTCATCCGAGTGATCAAGCCTCAGATCTTGTCCCTCCGAGTGAAACAGAATTCCCCATGCACCAAGATGACAATAGTGATTGGGAAGATTCAGGATCAAAATCAAGATATGAATGGAAACTGACAACAACCAGAAAACTCCTAAATATATTAGAGGAAAAGAAAAAAGTTGCACCAGATTCTTTTTCCATAAACAAAAAGATATGGGCGGGACTATCAAAAGAGCTGTCCAAAAATGAAGTAAATCCCCCGTCTGCCAGTCAATGTCGTGAGAAGTTCTACACATTAAAAAGAGGCTATAGAAAATGTTTGTACGAATGCAAGCAAACTGGAAATAAAACCCCTAAACCATTTAAGTACGAAACTGAAATGCAGAGTATACTGGATGGGGACCCATCGTTCAAACCATTATTTCTTTGTAGCTCTTTTGGTTTGAGAAAAGATGATGCTGACCGTGAGTCAGATGAACCTGAGGAAGATGATGATGCAAGCACCAGCAGTGCTTCAACTTCAAGACCATCAACCCCTGTTCCTACAGCTACATGTAAGACAAAGAAAAGAAAAATTGACGAGATGAGAGAATACTTTAAGGAGAGAGATAAAAAATTCTTCGACATAATGGAAAATATGCAGAATAGCAATAAAGAACTCTTGACAAAATTAATTGAAAAATTGGGCAAATAGGGACTGAGTACACAACACCACACATTACAAATTTTTTGTCAGTATAACTTGACGAATATTAACAAAACTAATTAGAGTACAGTAATAAGTCCTTATCACAGCACAAGTGAAAACACTAGTCAGGGTTAAAGTAAGCATCCTCTTCTTTGGATAAGTTGTTATTATTTTGACATCCTGAGATACACTAATTAAGATGTCTTTCATGTTTTGAATTTAAACATTTAAACCTCTTTTTATTTATATTTAGCTATACAAAGAAATTGTATTTATTTTTAGCTATACAAAGAAATTGTATATTTTTTTTATTTTAAAAATTAATAAGGTTGTTTAAAAAAATGTTTAATGTTCTGAATATTTGCATTGAACATGGAATATTAAAATAATATTAAAGTATTGAACAAAATCAACAGTCTTCTAATTGTAGAAAATGTTACTGATAGTTCATATCAATTGGTTCATCATCTGTTGTCTGGAGTTGATGACCGTCATGGGCAGGTGGCATGTCAAACAAGCTTCAAATTCATCTGGTACTTCGATAAAGTCTGTGTCTGAAATATATAAGTTATGTAAAACACAAGCAGCAAGTATAGACTCTACTATGATTTTAATTTTTGAAGACTCAAATCGCAAAAGTCTCCTAAACCGACACTTTAATAAGCCAAACGATCTTTCGATGACTTGTCTGCTACGGCTGTGCTCCTTATTAAATTTTCTTTGTTGCTCAGTTAGGTTGCCACAATTCCGAAAAGGTGTTATGAGCCACTGAAGTCATGGAAAGGCTGAATCCCCCAATATGACATAGCCAACAGGAATCTTTTCATCACTCTTTTGAAAAAGATCTGACATTCGCATTACTGTTGCATCATGCGTGCTTCCAGGATTTCCTGTCCAAACATAGGTAAATTCCATTTTGGAATTGCAGCATGCCAGAAGCACCACAGAGTAAAATTTCTTTCTATTGTAGTAGGCCTGTGGCTGGTGTTTGGGGGCCTTTATCGGAATGTGACTGCCATCCAAAGCACCCACAACATTTTGAAATTGACAGTTTTCTCCAAATTTTTGACATGTTTCATTTAGTTCTGCTTGTGATAAAGACCATCTAATTACTTCTGCCATAACACTTATCAAGGAGGAGGACACTCTAGTAACACTAGCGTGAAAACTTCCTTTAGATGTACCGAACCGATCAGCCATAGATCGAAAACTCTCAAGGTTTCCTAAGTACCACAAAAACATCAACAGTTCTTTTTCAAGGTTAGGGGCAGGGCCCTTTTGATTGTTGTAAGCGTTAACTGTTGATAATCTCTGGCACGTACTCTCAAATGTGTCTCTGGACAAACGAAAATGGGTTTTAAATTCATCAAGTGTATACGAGGGTATAGTAACCTCATAGTAATGCCTCACTCTAGTCATTTCATCTGAAGATCTACGCAAGTTTTGTAGGAGAAAATAATCTGGAAGGGAGAAGTTTTCAGTACTTCATTGAACTAAAAAAAGTATTTCTAAACATACTCTCTTGTTGTAAAATGACGCATGAAGCAATTATTATATTTTCTTCATTGGACATTTTCTTCTAAATAATAAGCCAATGGTAACCAATGGTACACCAATGGTACCATTGTTAACATTGGTGAGATTCCTACCAATTGTACCCAAAAAACCGTTCAGAGTAAATATGGGCCCAATGGTACCAACGGTACAAATTCTTGCCATTGGCAAACAGGTGATGGTACCAATGGAAATACTCTGAACGCACCCAATATATTTTTCAAGTGGGCTGCTTCACTGCCGCAATTCACATAGTTCGTCTCATGGCACTAATCATGCTAATGTCAACACGGATTATCATATCCACCACGAAAGGTGTTAAGTGCTTTGAAGTAACTCAGGTGTGGCCGGATTAGAGGGAATAATTACCGTTAATTATGAGCAGTTGGGACCAGTATGGCCGTTCGGAATACAGAATAGACAGTATCCGGACTACACAGAATTTTTTTTATTGAATTTGTTAAAGAAGTGCATGGGACTAAAATTTGTAGACGGAATGGACAAAAGTCCGGAGTACTCAGAGTCCGGATTAGACAAATTTTACTGTATAACCTTTTTACTATAGAAATGTTCATTGAAACCCCCAACACTTTTTGTCTGTTAAATTAATGTAGTAAGTTGGTGTAAAAATAGTACTGAAAGAAAATGGAGTTGGAATTTATCGTCAATTGTCTTTTTTCGCTTGTCAAGTTCGACTTTATTCTCTGCCCCCCCCCCTTTCAAAAGCGATGCTACGTCACTACTATGTCAGCGGTTTTCGTAAGAGACTTAACATGACTAAATCAACTTGTATTTATTAAGGAGTGATTAAATATGTATAACATACATCGTTTCTGAGAAAATTTATGTATTTTAAATGATTTAATCGAAAATAATATTTTCCGTTTTCCGTTCCGTTCCGCTTTCCGTTCCGTTTTCCGTTCCGCGTTTTAGCAACACCCTATACTAACAGTTAGTATATAGGTCCCTGGTTAAATGCAGTGTAACGGAGAGAAAACCCATGGGTTACGAAGATGCATTTTTGTACAACATTTCGATTTGATGTCGGGTTCGTTATGCATAATATCTAAATTTAGAACAAGGAATTCCGATTTGCGACTTGGAAGCTTAGATGTTCCTAAAAATAGAATTAGCTTAATCTGTGTTTAATCTGTGTTTTAAAGTAAATGAAGTTTGCTTATTCACGGCATTTTTACACTAAATATTCTAGTTGTTAATATGGCGTGGATCAATTAATGGACAAACTAATAGTTGACTCGAATTTGCTCTGTCTTTTCTGCAATAAGGTATGTCTTGGATTATTTATCCTTCAAAATTTTTCAAAATGATTCTTTTGAGAATATGCCTTTACCTTCACAACTGGTCTGAAATCAATAATTTTTTTCTTTGAGTTACTCAATTAAATTTGAGTGTAAACAAGGCATTTTACAGTTTTTATGATTCTTTGTACAATGTATAATATTGTATCAGTGAATTAGAATAGGCCTAACTCAGTAACTGTGAAAGTATTTATGATGATAGATGTTTAGATTGGTAAAAAGTGATTTTGATGACCAAATGGCATTAAACCAAACAAAAGCAAATCAAGGACCAAATACATCTCAGGTCCTAAGTAAAATTGTATAATGTTATAATTTATAAACATGATAAATAGTAAAATACTACTTAATTGGTCTAAGTTCCATGAATTGATGCTAAAGGTGCTAAAACTATATAGATAAAATCCATGGAAACAGGAAACCTTTATAAAATTGAATGAAAATTCAGAGTAAAATATGAAATTGCCAATGCATCTTTTATGGCACACCAAATTCACAAAAATGAGATAAACCTAGTTTCGCAATTGATAAACTAGGTTTATCGACAGTAAACTATAGTTTACAAACCGTAAACTATAGTTAACGATTCGTTAAGTATAGTTTTCATCTGTAAAACTATATTTAACGGTTGTTAACTATAGTTTACGAATGTTAATCTAAGTTTATCTGTCTGTAATAAGCGTTAACAATAGATTTTGTTGATAAACATAGATTCACGTTTGTAAACTATAGTTTACAATCGTAAACTATAGTTAAGAGTTGTCAATCATAGTTTCACAAATCGTGAAACTATATTTATCAGATCGTTAACTATAGTTAACGGTTTGTAAACTATAGTTTACAAATCGTGAAACTGTATTTATCAGATAATATATGTTTTGCAATCGCAAATTATGGCATGCCAAATTCACAAATATGAGCTAAACATAATTTCACAGTTGATAAACTAAGTTTATTGACTGTAAACTATAGTTTACAAACCGTGAACTATAGTTAACAATTTGTTAACTATAGTTCTCGTCTGTAAAACTATATTTAACGGTCGTTAACTTTAGTTTACGAATGCTAATCGAAGTTTATCTGTCTGTAATAAAGAGTTAACAATAGATTTTGTTGATAAACATAGATTCACGTTTGTAAACTATAATTTACCATCGTAAACTATAGTTAAGAGTTGTTAATCATAGTTTCACAAATCGTGTAACTATATTTATCAGATCATTAACTATAGTTAACGGTTTGTAAACTATAGTTTACAAATCGTGAAACTGTATTTATCAGATAATCTATGTTTTGCGATTGCAAATGATTGTTTTCGGTGTTAAGTATAGTTTACAGTTGTGAAACATAGATTATCGCGTTAACTATGGTTTACAGATGTAAAATATAGATTAACGTTGTTAACTATAGTTTACGGTCCGTAAACTATAGTTTACAACCGATAAACCTAATTTATCGACTGTGAAACTATGTTTAGCTCATTTTTGTGAATATGGCATGCCATAGCAAATGATTGTTTTCGGTGTTAAGTATAGTTTACGGTTGTGAAACATAGATTATCGCGTTAAATGTGGTTTACAGATGTAAGATATAGATTAACGTTGTTAACTATAGTTTACAGTCCGTAAACTATAGTTTACAACCAATAAACCTAGTTTATTGACTGTGAAACTATGTTTAGCTCATTTTTGTGAATTTGGCGTGCCATAATCTTTATATTGAATTCTATTTTCTATATACCCGGTATTAACAAAAGTCATCTATATTTCAAATTTGTTTAAGAAACTCTACATATTAATTGTACATTTATTGGAAGATTATGGCTTCCAAGTTTAATATGCTATTTTCATTGTAGAAGACTGAGGTCTAGACATATAGACAAATGGATGACACAGATAGAAGAACTCTTCAAGTGAATCGCACCTACCTTGTGAAGAATATTGCCAATCCCGATGACATCGCAGAGGAATTGTTCTCCAATGAAATCTTTACAGAAGGAATGAAAGATGAAGTGGAGGTACAAATCTCAGAGAATCTTTTTTTTGTATTTCACAGTGATAATAATTAATGAGAGGGTAGATTAGATCTAATATGTAATATGATTTTAGTATGTAATTTTTTTGTAACAGGAAGGGAGAAAATGTATGGGTATCAAACCCGGGACCCCTGTATCTCCAGTCAAACCCGGGACCCCTGTATCTCCAGTCAGGTGCTCTATCAACTGAGCTATCCAGGCCAATATCCATGGCCTAAACCATTAATTCCTCCCTCCTTAAATGGTCTTCACCCTCAAAGACACAACCCAAGTTCTTATTACCCCCTGGCAGGACTTTCACCTGCAATTCAAGGGGTAGTCAATGGCACCAAATATGTAACAGGAAGGGAGAAAATGTATGGCTGGACCAGGAACCCGGGACCCCTCCATCTCCAGTCAGATGCTCTACCAACTGAGCTATCCAGGCCAATATATCCACAGCCAAAACCATTACATTTTTTAAAACACTGAAAGCATTTTCAGAATAATATGCATCACTGTCAGGAAGAACAAGAAGAGTTTCAGCTTATTTGAATATACAGTACTTGTATATATTTAATCTTCCTTTTGAAGTACAGGCACATGTATCAGTATCAAGAAACTTATGAAGAAAATTCAGGAAGTGGGTTGAAAAACATTTAATATGGTCAAAATCATGAAGACAATAGCTACATTGATATATACATAAGCATATTTCTAGACTGTCTGATAAATAGTAAATGTCAGCAATAGATACTAGTACCTATATCATGTTTATCTTTGAATTAATCAAAAAGTTATAATGATTACAGGTTTTTTTTTCAGAGTTATTAATTAAATTACAATTGCTAGTGACCAGAAAGATGACGGATTATAATCACTGCATGATCACAATAACCCATCCCTTACAAATACATGCAATAATTCACATAGAAATATACATATTCAGCCAAACATTTAAAAAAAATCTTTTCTTCCCCTCAAAGGTGGAGAAACTTAGAGAGAAGAAAGTCCGAAAACTGCTGGACATTTTGCCGAGGAGAGGTCCAGATGCCTTTAAGATTTTCCTGAATGTCTTAGTGGATACCCAAAATAAACATGTGGCAGAACACATAAACTCAGGACAGAAAGTCCCATATGTCCCACACAATCAGCTTCATCAACAAGAGGAGGAGGAAGAAGAGCTACCTCAGAGTAAATTATAGAAACATTTTATCACCACTAAAGTTTCTATATGTATTATACTTCTGTATTATACTCAGGTGACCATTAAGGCCCTTGGGCCTTTTGTATTACTGCAATTTTTATTTTCATGTCATTTGAATCTTTAAGAAACTTAAAAATCTTTTATTTTTCCATAGCATGGCCAGATCCAATGAGCTTAGAAGGACAATTGATTGTAAAACCGTGTCCAATAAATTCCACCAGATTCCAGAGTAGAAGGGTAGGAAAACTTTACAAGTTTATCATAATGTTTAAATTTCATGTTACATTGGTGCAATGTTTCAAAATATTATTGGAGACAAAATAGATTTCTTGTCCTTCTTGACATTAGATAAACAGTCTGTATTTTTCAGAAAAATTGTTATTTTGCATATGTACAGTTGTTTAATTTTTCTGTAGCATAAAATTTTAAGTAATTATATATATTGAATCTGTTTTACAATTCATATTTTAACCTATTTTTCTTAAACTAAAATCAAGGTCAAATAAATCCTAAACTCTGTGTTTATTTCCTCTCTCATTGCTACTGGAAAATGATTTTGCAGTGTTATAAAATGGGTCGAAAGCCTCGCGGCAGAGTCCTGGTCATCAACAACAAAATCTTTTTTGGTCCGTTGGAGAAAGATGATGTTGGTAAAAAAAGGGTGACCCTGACAGACAGATTGGGAACAGAGCAAGACGAGATAAAAATTAGAGAAGTGTTCGAGCAGATGAATTTTGTTGTGGATGTTTTCAATGACAAGAAAGGAGAGGTAACAAACTTAGCACAAATCTTTTTATTTAGCCTGAATTTTTTTTATTTACATGATTTAGGTGGCACAGGTAATTTTACTGTGTGATTTTGATCTAAAATTATCTTATTTAATTTAGGAAATAAAAGATATACTGAGAGGTGAAGTAGAAAGAGATATTCATCGAGCAGCAGATTGTTTTGTGCTGGTAATAATGACCCATGGGACCACAGGGGCTATCTATGGAGTAGATGGCAAAACCGTGTCTATTGAAGAAATCAAAAAACAGTTCAATGGTGAAAAATTTCCAGCTATGGCTGACAAACCAAAAGTTATTCTTATCCAGGCTTGTAGAGGAGGTAGGAATGTATACATTTAAAAGTACATCACTGAGGGGTTCCCCCAAGAGCAAACTTATTTCCCAAGGCGAAATCAGAAATAGGCTTGTTCATGGAGTATTGGAATCTTACTGACCTTTTCAGTGATGTACTTAAACTGTTTAATTATACTAAATACAAAAATTAGACCAGGTAACTTGTGATACAATTTGTATTTTATATGCAATGTACATGTAGTTAAGGTGTGCAATAGAGCTATAGGTAATTTTCACTGTCAGATTTAAAAAAAAAACTTCTTTAAAAGACGAACAGGGAAAACATTCCCAATATCAGACAAAGGTATTAAAGAGGCTGGGGGTGGCAGCCATTTTCAGACTATTTCTATCTCCTTTAAAAGAAGAGCTCCATATAAAGATATACAAAAATGATCAAATTTTAAAACTAAAATGTATTAATTTTTTCTTTGCCAAATGATAGTTGACAGCTTAAGATACCATATCTAAAAAAATAGGTTAAATTTGGTGGTTAATTTTGTGGTTAATTTGTTGACCCCCCCAGTCTCCTTAAGGATGCAATATGCAGTTTAAATACAAAGGACAATTTTATTATATATAATTAGATTGGACAGTCTTGTTTTTGCAATTTTTTCCATCAACTGTCATAAAAATAGCAATAAATAAGCCATTTGCAAGATTTCATTAGGTTGCAGCATTTTTCAATATCACATTGTGGTATATATTTGAGCTTGCAATAGATTAATTTATGAAAAATTTACCTTCATACAAATATATGCAGCATTATCACTTAAATTTATGGTCATTAAATTCTCTACAAGCAATATATGATTTGTTTATTTGAACACATTTTTTCAAAGTGAAAATGTATTATGATATCACAATCGATCTTCCTCTTAGTGCACATTAAATATTTTGTGTCTAATTTTACCATAATGACATTACATTGACAATAAAATTTCATTGGTACGTTTCAATTTTTTTGAAAAGAAAAATTTTTGCACTTACATGTACCAACTGACCTTTATTTTTACTTTGAGTCAGGCGAGGGCAAGCAAACATCTTTTATTAGCTCACCTGAGCTGAAGGCCACAATGAAGGATCAATTTTTTTACAAAGTAATATGTTGTGAAATCTTTAAAAAGTCTTCTTTTCAAGAACAGCAATGTTATATGTTATATTAATATGGAAGCACACTCAAGTAGTATAAAATACAATTCCTTCCCCCCCCTACCCTATGTATACTTTTCATTACTGACTCCTAGTCCTTGCGCTCAGGTGAGTGCTGTGGACCATGGGCCTTTTGTGTAGGTTGGGACCATTTCTGCATTTAAGCCTTACAATACTGAATTATTTTTTTTGTTGCTTTTTCTCCTAGCCACAGTGCTAAACGAAAGTGATGAACATGTAATTTGCATCGTTATTAATGTCAAATACTGTTTTGAATTACATTGATAGATATGCTCTTTTGAAGGATATGCTCTGCTTGGCAGTGTACCCTTAGCTTAATCTGGCTTTTGTCATTTATTTCATTTGCTTTAAATAATCTAATAATAAAGAATCAAAAAAAGAATAGCCTCGGATAATTCCTTTCAATGATTGTCCTGATTTTATTTTTTTAGATGATCGAGATGAAGGAGTAAGAGAAATCTCCAACACAGACAAGATAATAAAGGAAGCAGAGAAGAAATTAAAAGACATGACCTTGAATTCTGAGACTGATTCCCACAGTGAGACTGTCACCCCAACAATGAGTCACATGGTTGTTGCAATGGCATCCACACTGGGTAAAAAAATTCCTTTCCCTTATAAACAATAAGTATTGAACAGTTAAATACAGCTATTTTAGTATAATGATATGAGCTAGACAGGAAATTTGGTTGTTTTTTTGATGTGATGAAAATTACATGATTAGGAAGTTATACATGCATTGAACTTGAATGACAACAAGAAATTAACTATTCACAGTCTAAGCATTTTTTTTTTTACCAAGAATAAAAAGTTTTGGAACGTATAGTATGCTTTAAAAAAATGCTGGATCAACAGCATTTTATTGTCCAATCGGCAATCCTCGACTGACTCCGCTAAGCACCATTCAAACCTCGGATGTGATTGGTGGAGGAATACACATCAGTTTGATACGTACATTTCTCCACAGGAAACTGCATTGTCACTCAATTTTCATATTTTGCTCTGCATAAAGTTCTTTGAAAAGGTTTCTTAATTTGTTTAATTTTAATTGCAACCTTATTTTATGGCTTTGTTATCAAGAACAAAGTGTTGAGCTGCCACAAAGTAACTCTGATTTCAATTGTATGACATTGGAAAGAAATTCAAATTAGATCACATGACTGAATAAGCAAGATGGTAGAACACCTTTGACAATCGAGGTTCGTGTGTGAGGTACAAGCCATCTGAGGAACTCTGAGTGTTAGATGTCATTTAATAAATTATATGTAATTTCACTGTGCACTAATAATGCATTATTTTCCCAGGAATGGTTTCCTTCAGGAATAAAATATATGGATCCTGGTTTCTTCAAGCTGTGGCCTTTGTACTTGCCAAATATTCTTATAAGGATGATATTCTTCAGATTCTGACAAAGGTATTTAACTTTGATATTGAAAAGAAATTTTCAATAGTTTCGAATCTAAGTTAACAAGGAACGTACTTTCTATTTTTTAAATGTTTATACACGTATTTACATTTGCTGTGTTTTTCTACTTAACAAACTATGCATGGAATTGATTTGAATGTCATTTTTGTATATTTACATTTGCTGATGTCTTTCCTTATATAACAATGCTAAAAAAACAATTTCAGTCAAATATTAAATGAGACAAATATCAAAGAAATTGGTCACAGATTACAATAATTTCAAATGGTATCATATATTATGGGACATCTGTATGTTTTCAAAAATATGACTTGGAAAAGTAAAATAAATGGATACAAATTTTCTTTAATTCAGACATTCGACAATTTAGTATTGAAAGTTTAGTATACTGGGGCAAAATGTCTTTCAGGTAAATGAGCTTGTGTCACTTGGGAGAGCAAAGGACAGTAGACAAGGGAAGGAATATGTGGCCATTTCTGAATTCAACTCCACCCTATCAAAAAGCCTGTATTTTTGTCCAGGACTAGTCACAGAGGAGGTTCAAAGCAATAAAATCCAGCAAGCATCAAGCTGACACAGCTGAAATCTAAAGCATGTAGCTGACAATGATTCTTTTCAATGCATTTTTTTTTAGTGTGTCTCAGGAATCAAAACAAATTTTTAAAACATGAATGGGATTGCACATAAAAAACATACCAATTTAAAAAAAGAGCCCAAAAAATATACTTTCATGGTGTTGGAATTTGATAAATCGATGTATGATAGAATTTATATGTTGCTCAGTATGCCGAAGTAATAATCATTAGTTTCATCAATTCATCATGAATTACTGTAAATGTGTTTGGCATTTACAGTATTTTTTATTAAAATTATTTTTTCAAAAAGCTAGACAAAGTATAGATTTGATTTAGTGCTATCTGGATGTGCTAGATATAACCATAAGATGTATAAGACATATACATCTGTAGTGAGGTACTTAAATAAGTGGGCTCTGCTTTCTGCCAAATTTGCTAAACAGAATACACTTAAAGTAATGCATTTACAGTTTTTGTCAAGTATTAGTAAGTGTAATATACAGAAAATTGTCTGTCAAGATGAAAAATTCTCATAACATTCAAAGATAAAAGGGGCATGTTTTGGGATCAAGATTAGGACCTTATTAGAAATTCTATATTTAGTGGTAGTTTTGATGAAATAAATTTTCATTATTTTTAATTTCAAATAATATAAAACTGGTTTGTATGCAACCAAAATTATATATATGGAATATGGATTCAGTACATTAAAATCACACTAAGATTTGGGTTAGTTTTTTTCATTTATATGGATAAAACAAAACCAAACATTTAAATTCATACTAAAAGAAATTATCGCATGAAAAGAATTATTTTGGACAAATATTAATAAGGTGAATTTTCAAATGCTAGAAGTTAAGAGGTCAAACAGAAAGGAGAAATTGTTGAATAGCTCTCATATCTTGCTACAGTGTTTGTAGCTCAGCATTACTTGAAAAGATTTGATAATCAGACATATGTACAATGTATGCTTTGAGTTTGAGATTCATTGTGAATTGATTAGTAATCAAACATCAAACTTAAAATGTACAACTGTAAATAAACACGGTTTAATGGCGTAGTTAATTTTTGAGATGTTTATGTTTTTCACTGTTTTGTTTTCTCATGATTTTTAAAGTTTTGCTATGTACATACTTTAAAAAGGTGTATTGAAAATTTGACAGTTTTTATTGTTCTTATTTAAACTTTCACATGCTGTTGATATATTGATACATAATTTTATATTATATTATAATTAAATATCAATATTGTGAAAAACATGTGTAGGATCTCCCATTGATATGATATTTATCTAACAAAATTTAATATCCATCCCAAGTATTGAAATAGAAATAAGTTAGATAAATGTCATGTATAGCTGCATGTGTAAATGTGAGAGGTTCTTTCTATCACATGTTTTCCACGGTTTTACACACTGCTGTTGCATGTTTTGCACCAGTCTGTTTATACATACGTACATGTATATGAATCCACTCTTTTTGAGTTATTAACTTATAATTATTACAATTACTCAAAAACTATTGTGAAATTGCAACTGTGGGAATTGAAAACAATATACTACGACTAAAGTCCAGTGTAAACAGTAGTAAATGTGTTAAAAATACATGTACGAGGGTTGATCCAAAAGTTTGTGGAATTTCTTAATATTTCATTCATTTATAAGTGAAATTGGTTGAAAATTACAAATGAGAATAAAGACACTTGTTGAATATTTTAGATTAAAAAATATTTTAAATATTTGTGATAGTAACTCTATGGCAGTTGCCATAGAAACGGATGTTTGGAAATGCGGGGGAGACATCAACGCGTTTATTATCATTTTAATTCTGATACTTGAAATGAGAATTAAACCGCTCTTCGTGTTATAGAAAACGAAAATTATGTCATTATTACGATTGCTTGATCTTTTATAAACCCTTGTGTGTGTATTTTACTGATTTTACTGGATATTTTGTTTATTAGTTAATGATTTATTGTTCATCTTAAGGTTGTTAGACGACGTCAAATTTCGGTCAAGTCATAAGTTTTGTGAAAATCCTGGGATCACTCTATCTTAAATGCGTATATCATTGACGTAGACTGAGGAAAAATGCATTTAGCCACTGGTTTTCCAGTGGCGTAAGAAAATGAAGAAAAGTAGAACCTTCATGGACGTTGATTAAAGGTGTGGCCGCCTTTTTGAGGCTCTGTTTTAAGTGTCGTCCCCCTTGATAAATTGAAAGCCTTAATAGACGTTGTCGGCTGACGTACTGTTCTCGACATTGCTACTGAAATCGGAACATCATATGGAAAGATGGGGTTATTTTGAAATATGAGTAAAAATGAAGATAAATTGGTGCGAGAGCATACCCAGGCTTTTCTTGAGAAAAAAAAAATGGAGAAAAGGGCAGCATTTTGAAGAATTACGTGTTCGAATTTGACATTAGGGTGAGATGATTCTATAACGTGACGTGACATACCTAACTTGACGTTACGTTGAAGTCTCCCCCGGGTTTTACAACCCTCCATTTTCAGAAAGCTCTTGTGACCTTATTGGTAATTGGAACGTGGTGAAATTTTCCAGTATTGTTGCATTATGACTCTATTTTATAAATATGCCTATTGTTTGCTTTTGTCAAATCATGATAAAGTTTTAGGAAGAAATTCCACGAACTTTTGGATCAACCCTCGTATATGTCCCGGAATTAATAATATGGTCACACTTAAATTTCATATTTGTCTGGATAATGTTAGCATACATGTATTGTACATGAATGTAGTCAATGATTTATGTCATTTGATGTCTAGAAACAAATCTTTTTAATCACAATGATTATGATGTGTGTGTTATTACTACGGTGCATATGACCAGTTGGCAGGGGATACTCACTCCGCGGTGGCACCTGATCCCACCTCTGATGTTTTAGAGGTCCATTTTGCTCTGTTCCTGGTTTGTATTGTTTAAATGGATTTCTGATCTTGAATACTGTTTATTATCTTCATATATTTCATAAAAGTTCTGTTACAAAATTCATTCTATATTCCAAGGCATTTGTTTTGTTTTAATGTCTCAGATTTGTCAAAATTGGAACAATGTCAGGTGAAAAATAAACTGTGATGTAATGGTGAAAATATCATATGAAAGTGTTGGTACATTCTTTTTTGATAACAAATATGTCTCTTGAATAAAGTCCCAATAAACCCTAAATATTTACTTTTATAACAGAAATATCTGGATAAGAAACACACTGTCCATGATTCAGTAACTGTAATAATGTTCTTTTTAACCGGTGTCCTTTGATAAATGGCACCACATAGTTTACCTTTAAAGATATATTTTGCATGTTTTTCAAAATTGCTTTATATTATCAATTTTCTTGCTATTGATTTTTACTAAAGAAAATAACCTGTATTTTGAAATAAATATATTTCTAAGTTGAACTGACTTTTCAAATTAGTTTGTTTTGTTGCAGAAAATATACATAAAACAGATGGCTACTTTCAGATTCAACATTAAAATAGTTGGACTTCTTAGAATGCTGTTGTCAGAAATTTTTTTGGAGACAATAAATTTTGAGACGATTTTTTTTTTATCTCTAATGGCTTGATTTTGAAAAAAAAATTACACTAGTAGAATTTTATTTTGAATTTTCATACAGCTCAGAGGTCAGTAAGAGTCCGAATTTATTTTCTTGTTTGACAGGGAATGGAATTTATTCAGATTCAACACATAAATACTCAGAAGTTGATATTGAAATGATGCTAGAGTTCCTCATTGAGAATATCTATATAGATAGTACACATGTATTTGAAGACTATATATAGATCTTTCAAAATCCGTTGGAAATCACATGAAAAATAATTGTTTCTAGACTTGTTAATCTGTTGTTGTTGTTTTTTTTTGTTTGTTTGTTTTTTTTTTTTTTTAGTATTCTGATGCAGAATTCATTCAAAAACTTCTTGCAATGACCTTCAATTCAAAATCAATGAACAATGGTATTTTAATTCATTAATCGAATTGATACTAGTAATGTTTCATATTTGTATGTTTTAATGACTAAATAGGATACTGTAAAATCACATATTTTAAAGGAGTAAGATTTTCGTGGTTTGAGGAAAATATATTGATTCATGGGAATTTGATTTCGTGGTTGAAGAATTGATATGTGAATTTCTGAATTCAACTCCACCCTATCAAAAAGCCTGTATTTTTGTCCAGGACTAGTCACAGAGGAGGTTCAAAGCAATAAAATCCAGCAAGCATCAAGCTGACACAGCTGAAATCTAAAGCATGTAGCTGACAATGATTCTTTTTAATGCATTTTTTTTAGTGTGTCTCAGGAATCAAAATAAATTTTTTAAAAATGAATAGGATTGCACATAAAAAACATACCAATTTAAAAAAAGAGGCCCAAAAATATACTTTCTTGGTGTTGGAATTTGATAAATAGATGCATGGTAGTATTTTTATGTTGCTCAGTATGCCAAAGTAATAATCATTAGTTTCATCAATTCATCATGAATTACTGTAAATGTGTTTGGCATTTACAGTATTTTTTATTAAAATTATTTTTTCAAAAAGCTAGACAAAGTGTAAATTTGATTTAGTGCTATCTGGGTGTGCTAGATATAAACATATGATTTATACGACATGTACATCTGTAGTGAGGTACTTAAATAAGCGGACTCTGCTTTCTGCCAAATTTGCTAAACAGAATACACTTACAGTAATGCATTTACAGTTTTTGTCAAATATTAGTAAGTGTAATATACAGAAAATTGTCTGTCAAGATGAAAAATTCTCATAACATTCAAAGATAAAAGGGGCATGTTTTGGGATCAAGATTAGGACCTTATTAGAAATTCTATACTTAGTGGTAGTTTTGATGAAATAAATTTTCATTATTTTTAATTTCAAATATATAAAACTAGTTTGTATGCAACCAAAATTATATATATAGAATATGGATTCAGTACATTAAAATCACACTAAGATTTGGGTTAGTTTTTTTCATTTATATGGATAAAACAAAACCAAACATTTAAATTCATACTAAAAGAAATTATCGCATGAAAAGAATTATTTTGGACAAATAATAAGGTGAATTTTCAAATGCTAGAAGTTAAGAGGTCAAACAGAAAGGAGAAATTGTTGAATAGCTCTCATATCTTGCTACAGTGTTTGTAGCTCAGCATTACTTGAAAAGATTTGATAATCAGACATATGTACAATGTATGCTTTGAGTTTGAGATTCATTGTGAATTGATTAGTAATCAAACATCAAACTTAAAATGTACAACTGTAAATAAACACGGTTTAATGGCGTAGTTAATTTTTGAGATGTTTATGTTTTTTTCACTGTTTTGTTTTCTCATGATTTTTAAAGTTTTGCTATGTACATACTTTAAAAAGGTGTATTGAAAATTTGACAGTTTTTATTGTTCTTATTTAAACGTTCACATGCTATTGATATATTGATATATAATTTTATATTATATTATAATTAAATATCAATATTGTGAAAAACATGTGTAGGATCTCCCATTGATATGATATTTATCTAACAAAATTTAATATCCATCCCAAGTCTTGAAATAGAAACAAGTTAGATAAATGTCATGTATAGCTGCATGTATAAATGTGAGAGGTTCTTTCTATCACATGTTTTCCACGGTTTTACACACTGCTGTTGCATGTTTTGCACCAGTCTGTTTATACATACGTACATGTATATGAATCCACTCTTTTTGAG